GGTTCGCCTCAGCCCAGTTCCGGGGCTGCCGCGCTCGCTGGGTTGTGAACCCCGGGGGCGAACCGTGGCCTCGGCTGGGGCGCGCTGGCTCCCGGAATCGTAAACTCGGCCTTGTGTTTCACGCTGTGTGTTTTTCCTGCAAAATACCGTGTGTGTGTATTGTTCACGCAGCCCTCCGCCTGCAGCGCAGGCACCCGTACCGCGAAGGCAGTAAGCGGCATAATGAGCATCCGTCACATAGGATTTGTTTTCCCTGTCATCTCTAATAGAGAAACAACACACGCGGGGACTTTTATCTGCTCAAAGCAGAAGATGGCTAGTGTAGTTTCTCCATAATCCCACGCAGATTTGTTCCGAAAGCTGTGTGGTCTGAGGTAGGTCTGCCCTTCTCCTGGCGAAGAGGGCGGTGGGTGATGGAGCAGCACCCTTCAGTGAGCTCTGGCCTCTGAGGACGGGCTCTGTTAAGTCCAGCCTTGCCCCTGGGTTGTGCAGTCCTTGCAAAACAAGGACAGAATAGCTTTGAGCCAGTTCAGGATTTTGAGCAGTAGATAGTAGATTGGTTTTGCCTCATCTATAGAAAAAGTACTCATTGGTGCTTGTTTTAAAGTGCCCCTTCACACCAGACAGTCATGAGGTAACCGTTTTTCACAATCCAAATGGAAATGCTTTGTAGTGGGTTGAGAGACAGCAGAAAAGAAATAAAAGCAAGCCATTGTTATTATCTACTTAGATTAATTTCAACAGATCTTCCTTTGCAGCAGCCTCTGAGGCATCTCTTACCAGTAAAGGTTCAGTTCCAAGACCTTTCAGCCAAAGATTTGCTTTCAAATAAAAGGATTAAGATTGTAAACCGAATACTTGAGAGTTTTCATTCAAATTCAGGTCTTCCTCCAGGACTTACATGTAAGTATCCTAATGAAGATATTTACCCTATCTTTCCAACTAGATCATCTGCATTTTATAAATGTGCTAAACAGGCCTGGCTAGGCATAGCCAGCATCCCTCCCTGTTGTGGACAGAAGCTATTAATGACAGCCTTGGTTTTAATTTCCAATAAACAGGTTGCTAATTGCTAAGAAAACACACTCCTTCATGAGAGGGCACAGTTCTACCCTTAGGTTATGGGTTTATGCAATATGGCAAGGCAGATGAACAGTTTGCTGCCACCCAAGGGAGAGAGAAGTCAAAGAAAACATACCTCCTTTCCCATCTCTCTGTCTCCTGAACTACTTACTTTTTGCCAGATCTGGCATCCATCATCATCCTCTTACGAACTAGTTTTATGTCACTATCAGCGAAAAACACAGCAATGGGAAAAAAAGGATCATTTTCTACTATGTTAGTGAACTGAATGGGATCAGTGAAAAGTCTGCAAAGTGCCAAGGCTGTACAAGGTGGGAGGCAGCCAGGAAAAAAAAAATAAATAAAAAAAGAGAGAGGAGAGCTTCACGTCACCCTTTATATCAGCAGAGAACTGGTATAGCCATGGGACTGCAGCCTCGGTGGGTAGATTCAGAACCTACCAAAACTTATAATTTATAAGTTGGCATTGATATTCATACTTCATGCAGACGTACAATGAAAAAGGGCATGCAGATGATGGACAACTGGAGACCAGATTCCTCACTAACCAAATCACATGGTGTGATGATGGCTTTTCAAAGCTTGAGAGTCTCTAAGACTTACTTGTCCTACTGGCAAATATGGAGGAAGGGTTGGATGGGTGGGTATGTGCAGACTAAATTTCTGAAAGATGCTTCTTCTTCTGTACCAGCTAGAAACCAACGGTTTCTTACGCAAAAAGTCAAGTGGCTAGCACGGCATTGCATTTTCACTATGGTTTCTCTTAAGAGTTATATAATAAATATGATTGTGAAAAGTAGAGACTCTACTAATCAGCATGTTGGCATGATCCTGATTTCAAGAAGCAGCTGTTACAGCAAGGAAGGTGAAAGAGACCGAAGTGCACCCTATTTCTGTTGCATAAGCACATCTTTAAAGTCGGGGATCGAGATATAGACCAATTTTAAATTAGCCTGCTAGGTGGTGCTACAGGACATGCTCTAAGTTACTCAATGAAAAATATATTACAGTTCAGTCTGATGTTTTACTAGAAGACATATAGGTGCCTACCATCACCTGCATCTCTAACTTACAATTTTTATATATAGAGTCTTGTTGCTACATTAGCAAAAAGGTTAATTTTTAAGTACAGACCTGAAAGTCATCCACTTCCCTTAATGATTTGGGTGCTCTCGCAGTCTATTTTGCTTATGTAATCTCCAAAGTAGATGTGGCCAGTCAGTGAGTGCCCACCAGTAGGAGATAAACACCTTTCTTCTCCCAACCTCTTCTTCCTCTATGGAGTCTATTTATCTGCCTTTTTATGGAAGATTTGGGGTAACCCAGTCTCCAGATGTAAGTCTTAATTGAGGGTAATGTGAAATGAGCCTTGCAATTCTGGCTCAAGTTGATGCAATGTCTTGTGTCCCAGACATTTTGTTACATAGTTCAGTTCTTGCAGGTGTCAGATAGGAGAGAGACTCCAGGATTCTGGGACTAGGGATATGTATGGTGTGAGTCTGTGACCATAGAGTAATATTGATAGCAGGAAGAGAGAGATTATAAAGTCTGCAGAACATGGATCATCTGCTAATTATCCACGGAAGCGATCATGAAAAACAAGGGACTGGATAGTGTAGACAGAGATTTCTACAAAAGCATTTGTCAAATTAAAGACATAAGGACAGAGAAGTCTGATGAATAACAGGAAATGTTAGAGTGCAAAAAGATCCTGAACTGAGATGTGTTAGCAGATCTAATGAAGATCGTGTTGCGAAGGAAGGGTGTGACATGTCAGCCTGTTTTTTGATGCAGCAACCTGGACTGCTTTTCAACGTTGCTGGGTTTAGTGCTTCAGTAATATGTGGTGAGTGCACGGAGGAGCAGAGCAAGGCTCTTGAGCAAAACATATATCTGGAAGTTACCTGTATTAAGGCATCTTGCAGTAACCTGTGCTGGAAGTACTTCCAGCTCAGCAGAAGGCAGCAGACAATGCACGGAAAACTGGTGTATTGACCATTAAGGTTCTTGACAGGTGTCAAAAGGTCAAGCCTGTTCATACTTAAATGGTCATCTTACTGCACTGAAGGGGAAGAAAGCTTGTGGCAAAATGGCTTTCCAGCCTGTCACTCTGAGGAAGTTACACATTTCCATATTGCAGCTAATAGCAAAGTGACAGTGGGACTGAAGTGTACACATCACTGAGCAAAATCATGAAGGTGCAGCTGTTGAGATCTCAGAAATTTCAGTTGCTGAAAAGGGAAGATATTGGCCAATGTTGATACTTCTTTGCATGTCTAATTCCCACTTCTCCTCATATAGTTCCATCCCAGATGGAATATTCACATAATCCAGTTGGTGTGGGATTCAACTGCAATTTTTGCCTGTACTCTTAAGATTTTGCTGTGGGCTCAGATAGCACAGGCTCAAATCCGCATTTTCCCTTGTGTTAGCTGGAATGCCAAAAGCTTTACCAGTCTTATGCTGATAATCAAAGCCATGTATGAAAGATAGGATAAAAAATTTCCTGTCTTCTTTTTCTCCAGAAAAGGCT